CAGTTTGTTTAGTGACTGTTTGAAGTTACAATGGCACTGAAAAAAGTGCTCTCCAAGCCACAGCCGAGCAAGACACCTGCCTGCCCATCCGGTGGCACTCTTCCTCTTGTCTGAGATTTTCATTGTTGTGAGCATTTCTGTTGAGGATTGGCAGTAGGGGTGGGGTGGGAGTGTGTTTGGTTTTTATGCCCCCCATCTGCTGGGTGGTTGCAGCAGGTTTTGGTCGCTTCATATGACCCTGGGACACTGTGACTGCCATAAATATGAATCAGTTGCCAAGCATCTGAATGTAAATCACAAGACCCTGGAGATGCTGCAACATTCCAGCTGATCAGTGCGTCTCCTGGGCTCAGCAGAAGTGCCAGGATCTGGGCTACTTTCCAGCTGATTGGTGCTTCTTCAGGGTTCAGCAGAAGGACCAGGATCAGTGCCGAGCTCCAGCTGGAGCCTGGCACTGATCCTGGCATTTCCACTGAGCCCTGACAGCCCCAAAGAAGCACTGATCAGCTGGAAAGCGGCACTGATCCTGGCACTTCCACTGTGCCCTAACAGCCCTGCAGCTCCAGCCATCTCTCACTCAGGCTTGTGCTGTGCTGCCACCAGTTCAGCTCATTCCCCTTCCCACTACCACTTTTCTAGGATGGTCATATACCACCTGCCAGGTGCCAATGTACCACAGGTGGTACCCGTAACACTGGTTGAAAATCCCTGCTCTAGCCACAGGCTCTTTCTCACTTTGTCAGCTGTATCAGGGAGGGAAGAGACCGGGGGAGGAGATTTATCTTGAGTGTTTTATTTGATGCACCCTGTCGACCCAAATATGGGAGGAAGAAATCTTTTGCCTGTATCAGCTCAATCTAGAGCCATCCATAGGCAGCAGTTGCTACTGTGGCATCATTTGTGTTTCCTAAATTTTTGGGATTGCTAACAAAGAATTAAGGGGGACTGGGACAGCTATTTCAAGCGGGTTAGCTCTCATCAGCCAGACATACCCTTCTGAGATTCGAACCTGGGCTGCTTGCACGTTAGGCAGCACTGTTGATCTTAGGCCACAGGCTCTTTCTCACTTTGTCAGCTGTATCAGGGAGGGAAGAAACCGGGGGAGGAGATTTACCTTGAGTGTTTTTTTGATGCACACTGTCGGCCCAAATATGGGAGGAAGACATCTTTTGCCTGAATATATATATATATATATATATATATATATATATATATATACACACATATACATATACATATACATATACATACATACAACAACATACATACATACATACATACATATATATAGATATATATATATATATATATATATATATATATATATATATATATTACCCAAATAAAAGAAAAAGCGAACACCAGGATATAATAAACCAGACTGTTTAATATAAACAAGCCTGTGGTTAAGAAGAGTCACTAAGCTTTCATCCGGCCAAAAACTGCTGGTGTCATCAGTTAGAATAGTAGGAGATTGGAGGGGCCGCTCATATAGCCTCCTGCCTCTGCACCCGGTTCCTTGAGCACATCATCGGCCCGTTGATTGTGTTAATCTGTATCGCGCAGAGTTGTTCCACATCAGGCAAACTGTCTTTGGCTCCACTAGTTGTTTTACGATCCTCAAGTGCTCTTTTAGAGCATGTGCAAGCACTTGGAGGGTGGCTGTCAATCCGTCCCTGCAGCTCCCAGCCTCCTCTTCCATTTGCAGAGAGAGAGAGAGAGAGAGAGAGAGAGAGAGGCACTTGCACTTCTCTTCTCTTCTCTCTCTCTCTCTTTAAGTCTTTGTTTGTGTGTTAAAAAGAGAGTGGCCTCACCCTGTTCCACCAGCTGACAAGCTTACTGGGCAGGGCTCCTGCCTTGGCTGCATCTCTGCAGGAAGCAGGAAGCAGGAGGAAAGGAGAGAGCTAGCTAGCCCAGCTATGCTTACTCAGGAATTCTGGGAGTTGAAGTCCATGAGTCATAAAAGAGCCGAGGTTGCCTACCCCTGAGCTTGTTGGAGAACAGCTTGAAGCCAGCTTGCCAGGTGAGCAGAAGATCAGAGAGAGGGATGGGGGGGAAGAAAGTGAGAGAGAGAGAGGGGGGAGAGGAAAGAGAGAAAGAGAAAGAGAGGAAGAGAGAGGGGGAAGAGAGAGGGAGAGGAAAGAGAAAGAGGGAAAGAGAGTGAGTGAGTGAGTGAGAGACAGGGAGAGACCCTTTTGACATCTAAAATGAAGATAACACTGCATATATTCTTTTTTACCTTTATATATATATATATATATATATATATATATATATATATATATATATATATATATATATATGTATATGTATATGGAGTTTGTGAGACAGCATAGTAGACCACATTGAAATCATAGAGACTCACGCTCCAATGTGACAGCAATGCCGGACACACGAACAACCCTCCCCTACATCCATGGTGTCTCCGAAGCCATGACATGGCTGTTGGCCCTCTATAATGTGAGCGTTGCCCATAGGCCTGAGCACACCCTTAGGTCTAAGGTCATGCATCCAAAAGAACCACTCCCCAATGGTCAAAGATCGTCTATGGTTTACAGAATCAATTGCAAAGACTGTGCGAGCAATTAGGTTGGGGAAACTACTAAAAGGCTGAGGACCAGGGTCCATGAACATGAACTAGCTATTAGAAGGGAGGAGCAACGCTCACAAGTGTGGACCCCTATGTCCAGCTCTGGCCACATGTTCGATCTAGCTAACGCAGAGGTTATAGCTCGTGAGACTACCACGGGTGGCCGCCTACTCAAGGAAAATTGATGAAAATTCCATCAACCGGCAAGCTTTTGCCGGCTTACCAGATTCTTAGGAGATGGGAGATACAGCGCACGGCCTGCTGAGAAGACATTTAACTCTTCCTTCGCATGATTGGGGTGGTAGAATGATGGATGAGATGGGCACGATCTCTAAGGAAGACAATGGCCTGGTTAAAGGGAAAAAACAGAAACCGAAACAATGGGACAGTGTTTTACATAATTGGGACAATGGCTCTACAGGTGAGATGACCACGACTCCAATGGACCGCGATGATGGACCAAACAGCCCTAAACCGGGGATGGACGCATTGAGGCTATCTGGAAGGAGGGGGAGGGAGGGGGAAGACAGAGAGCAGGAATGCTGGAACAACTGCTTGTTGCAGGACTGCAGCGGAGGAATTATGACAACGAACTTGGGGGGGGGAGGATAATGGCCCTGGGAGGGAGGGAGTCTGGGCACAGGGACAAATTGACAGTTGCCCTCCAAGTGCTTGCATATGCTCTAAAAGAGCACTTGAGGATCGTAAAACAACTAGTGGAGCCAAAGACAGTTTGCCTGATGAGGAACAACTCTGCATGATACGGATTAACACAATCAACGGGCCGATAACACGCTCAAGGAGCCAGGGATATATGAACGGCCCTCCCAATCTCCTTCTATTCTAACTCTGATGATGCCGGCAGTTTTTGGCCAGAGGAAAGCTTAGTGACTCTTCTTAACCACAGGCTTGTTTATATTAAACAGTCTGGTTTATTATATCCTGGTATTTGCTTTTTTTTTTTATTTGGTTAACATAATGCCCAAGATTCGCATTTTTAGTATTTTAAAAGACACACACACACACACACACAAGTCTTTAAATGTAAAAAAAGGATATATGCAGTGTTATCTTCATTTTAGATGTCAAAAGGGTCTCTCTCTGTCTCTCCCTCCCTCTCTTTCTCTCTTTCCTCTCCTTTTCCTTTTCCCCATCTCTCTCTTTTCTCTCTCTCTCTCTCTCTCTCTCTCTCTCTCTCTTTCTTCCTCCCCTCTCCTTCTCTCCGATCTTCTGCTCACCTGGCAAGCTGGCTTCAAGCTGTTCTCCAACAAGCTCAGGGGTAGGCAACCTCAGCTTTTTTATGACTCATGGACTTCAACTCCCAGAATTCCTGAGTCAGCATAGCTGGGCTAGCTGGCTCTCTCCAGCCCTCCTTCTTCCTGTTTCCTGCTTCCTGCAGAGACGCAGCCAAGACAGGAGCCCTGCCCAGTAAGCTTGATGGCTGGTGGAACACGGTGAGGCCACTCTCTTTTTTACACACACACAAACACACAAACAAATGACAGAGGAGGCTGGGAGCCACAGGTTGCCGACCTGTGGCCTATAGAGTAAATTGGCTCTGTTTTGCACAGCTACAATCACGATTCTGACTTGAATTCCCATCACCAAGCAATCTGTTCATAAAAATATGAGATCACGTGACCCTATGGCTTAGGAATGGCAGCCCCAGGATTTCTGCTGCTGTTGGTAACAGAATTCCACAAGTGATTAGCTGTGAACACACCAAATCTAAGTCATTCTTGGCTTGGCCCCTCTCTGTCCTAAGCCTCACTAAGTTAAAGGACTGCACAGAGTGAATTGGGACTTAGGAATACCTGGACACAATGAGGGGCTTAACATGAAAGACACAACATCAAGAGAATTCATAGCAGCACTAGAATCTATATTCACCAGTAGAGATAGAGAAGCCAGAAACTAAAGGCCACTCTCAACCATGTACCATACAAATACAACGTGTGGAACAGCACACATTCTGGAGAGAGAGAGGTTGCCTGAGGATGGGCTCCAGCACGAGCTCCAAAGCTTGGAAGAATGAACCTTTGGTCCCTGTGACCAACTCAAATTGGATCCTGCAAGGAAGATTCTGTTCCATATAACTGGCCAGTTCTGTATAAGAGTGGTGGATGGGGTAAGCAGTTGTTCTAAGGCTTATATTGGTAGTTAATTTTATTTCTATTTTGAATGTTTTTTCTTCATTAATAGCTTAGATATTCAGTAAATAAAAAAGGGCAAAAAATGACACTGGCTAGGGAATGTCTTCTGCATTAAAATGGAACAAAGCCAAATGCACATACACACACAGATACACAAAGTCGTGCAGTCACATGAATATACTGCCCAGAGCCCTCTTTAAAAAAAATCACATAAAAACTGCAATGCTCCTTAAGCTTTATTTCAAGGAAAAATTACCAAATTTTAGTTCAATGCATAACTTTTCTAGAAACTGATAGATAGCAATAGCAATTTGGATTTATATAAAAGAAAATGAAGCGACAGCAGGCAGTCGTGTCAGGTCATTGGGCAGAGGTTGAAGATATCCAGATGGAAATGGCAACATTTTATGGAATAACTATAGAAATTAGATAAAAAATAGGTTAATCAAAGTGGTTTAATCTTTCTTATGCCCCCTAAACCCCTTCCCTTCTTCCTACACAGTATTCCCTGAAAAACCCTTTTCTTGTTCCTTTCAAAGCTTTGCAATAATTTGTGAACGCAAACAATATCAGGCAGATTGTCCCAATCTACATTTATGGCATCTCTACTAGAGAAGGTTTTCTTACCACAGCACAACTGAGGACCACAATCTTGATGTCCCACAGAGAATGCCCCTATGGGACAGGGAGGGCCAATGCATTTTCCTTTTGTTTTCTCACACAGAGGACTAGCAGTCCCTGTGAAATGGAAAACAGGAGACAAGTTGATGATGAGTAAAGATACTTTGATATTTATATACATTTCTCCTTCCAAGACACCACCACCACTGCAAAATTCCTGTGCCTTCCGGCAGTTTCATCTAACCAAAAGAATCAGTTTCTGCTTGTCCCCAAGCAATAGCCCAAATAAATCACAAATCAACCCACGTCTCAAACTGCATATATGAGAGCTAGTTATGACTTGCATGAGGGACTCTCAGGACATCCCAGTTGTCAAAAAAGCTTTAGAAAAAATGAGAAGGATGCATCACTTTTGGACTGCTCTCAAAGAGAAGTGCATTGGATTGTTCACTAAATCTCCAAGAGTCAATGTTTTCTTGAGGGAGTATGTACAGTTTGCTTTCTCTGTTAAGGGCATAATGATAGATATATGAGAAAAAGTTAATTTCTCTGCTAAAAGTCCAAATGCATATGAGTAAATTCACTAGAAGGTTGGTATAGTGCAGCCATTTTTGTTCTTTACTCAAATGGAACATAAAAAGAATACTGAATAAATTGGTTTTCCAATCCCTAGATGGGGTGTATCAGATTGGATTTCTAATTTTAATTCAGAAGAAAAATCAATGATATATATTTCAGGTGTTTGGAAGTTCACATTATCAATATTCCATCCTTCATAACTAATTCTTTAAGTAAAACGTGGTAATGATTAAGATATTTCTAGCTAAAAGATGAAGATTTAATTTCAGAAGTTCATTCTTTAAGCTTGCACAAATTCTGCTCCTGGATTGAATAATAGACCCAAGAAAGATGTAGTAGATTACCCTGCTTTCAAAGATGATAGTACTTGTTCAGAAAGGAGTGAGCTATCAATCCTTTCTAAATTATCATTAAGTTAGATTCTTACCTGGTTCAGACAGGAATGCAAGGAAAAGGAATGCGAAGAGCAGGCAAAAGATCTTCATGTTGGAATTGGTTCTGGACCAAATCTTATTCTGGGAACAGAACAGAGCTCTATATTTATAGAGTTATAATTATTGCATTACATCACCTCAGTGAAATTTTGCAACTAATTTTTGAAGTTACTTTTACCATTCTTACATAAGGCATTGTTGCATCTTCTTTCTATTGAAGTACTCATTTGGGTTTGCTTTTGCAAAATTCTTTGGAAAAGCAAGAAAATTAGTTAAACGGTTAATCAGTTGTGGTTTCCAAATATCCCAGCCTCAGGGCTTGCCATGTCCAGCAGGGGCAGACAAAAAGTCCTTTCTGAATTACTGTTGAACTTCTAGTAATTCAGAAAGATAATACTTAACCACATTCAAAAGTGTCATGAACTTTTGGAACTGCCATTATACAGCTTAGAAGTATAGGAGACAAGTCCTTGACCTTGCCTTTGGTGAGGCCATAAATATAATAATATGCATACTGCCTCCTTGCTGATGTTAGGACTACATGGATTTCTTTGTTTTGATCATCTAATTCTGCTTGATCCTATATGAACTTAAATATTAGCTTTATTTTGTATTTATTTGTTTGTTTGTGTGTGTGTGTGTTTGTTTATTTAGCCATAATATATATTTTTAATTTTTGTAGATGAGCAGAATTTGGAGTTTGAGATATAGAGGATAATCTGGTCAAATGAGGAAGGCTCAAAATTGGTTACAAAAAAAACTGAAACAAATAAAATAAAGTAATTAAGTGAAATGAATAAACAACATTAAAATAAAGAACCATTGTAACAGAGCTGAACAATATTGTTTTAGCAGCAGTTATGAAATCCAATACCTCTCTTAACTAATAAACACCAAGAGTGTTTGTAAAAGGAAGATTTTAATTATTTTTGAAATAATGAATATAGTTGTAGCAATCGAATTCAGGATGGATGCTGTGGGAAAAGATGGCAAACATACATGTCCCTGTAGTTCCCAAATATAAGACATCCTTTCTCATCTCTTGGTAGGTCAGAAGCCATTGGGAAAAGACCGTCCTATAGATACACTGATCCTAAGTGTGAGAAAGCATTAGATCAAGATAGAAAATTCAGATTACATCTCTGTCTCCAATCTTCTCTTGTTGAGAACATGGTTTGACTGTACCTTCCTTAAAGGAACCTTCCTTTGACAAAATGGATTATCTATACTCACTTCATCTGTGTTTCAGGTTGACATTTAGGATACAGAAAGTTTTGGCTATGCTCTTAATTTTTCAAGAGGTGATTGTAATCAGTCTCCACTGTGTATGTAAAGCATGAGTGATTGTGGGAAGGGTCCTCTGATCCAGGAAAGGCCATAATGGGCAAGGTAGCTGCCATGTGCTATTTAAACAGGAGCTTTGAGTCAACAATATTGACTTGTTATCCCAATTCATGAAGAAAGTAAAATGCCACGATTAACAGTATCAAAAGCTAGAGTGAGGTCTCAAAAGACAGGAAAGGCAGATATAATTCTTCTGCCCAGTCTCATCACAGAACAGATAAGAATTTGAAACCTCATACATATGTTTCTTTCTCTTTCCAGTGTGAAGTGGCTACCACTCCATCTCTTTTGGCATATTTGCATCACATATTTTGATTGAAAGCAGTGCTATCTGACCATACTTATTTCTTGACACTGATCATCCTGATTGATTTAATGACTATGTGCAATCAAGTCAGTGTTGATGTTCAGCATTCACATTTGCGCTTAACCTGGCCCTTCAGCTGTTCTAACCATGCAACATGACCATCTAAGTAACTTTCAGCTGGTTGTCCTTGTCTCCTCTTTCTTTATAACAACCCCAGCATTAGAGCCTTCTCCAGAGAGCTAGGTCTTCATGTACTGTTTCTAAGTCAGATAATTTGAGTCTTGGCATTTGTTCAGCAAATGAGTTATTGTATAATGATCCAAGGGGGTTTTTTATTGGTTTTTTAACTATATCAATCTCCAGTGCTTGGTGTACAGTGTTTTGTATTCGTTTATATGTTAACAAGAAAAAAGGACAATAATAATTAAATAACAATCAATAATTATTAAATTTCATAATTTCATAATTAATACATTAATTAATCATACATTTCTTTGATTTTCCCTTCTCCTCTTTGTATTCTCCTTCTTCAAAATATATAGCCAAAATATAATTCTTAATATTTTCAATATATAAATGATTAGATATAGGCATTTTTTATATTTATACAAGTAATTATAATCTCTTTATATAACATTTTTTCATCTTATATTATTCTCATAACCGTCATCTCATTAATTTAGCATATATCCTATTTTTATAATTTTTGTTCGCTTAAATTCCCTTATATTCAATCCAATTCTTATCAGTCATAATTTCTTCATATTAGTCATCTAACTGTCTAAATTTTCCCATTTAGGTACATTATCCCAATATTTTATGTCATTCATTATAAAAATACTATACTTTTTATCTATTTTATAGTATCTAGATTCTTCTTCTTGTTGTTGTGCCATATCCGTTATCGGACGTTGGTGATCATTTTGGCAATCCTGTTTTTATCAGCAGCCGCACGAAAAAGTGCTGCTGAGTTTTGTCCAAACCAGTCCCTTAGATTTTGAAGCCACGATGTTCTTCTTCTGCCCGGACCTCGTTTGCCTTCCTTCTTTCCCTGGAGCATTAAATGGAGTATGCCGTATTTTTCTGGGTGTCGCATCACATGTCCAAAATATTCTAATTTTCGTTTTTTAATTGTTTTGATGATTTCCCTTGGCTTTCCCAGGCGGCTTATCACCTCCTCATTTCTGATCTTGTCAACCCAGCTTATACATAACAACCATCTATAAATCCACATTTCAAATGCTTCTACTCTCTTCAGGTGGCCTTCTGTCAGAGACCAACTCTCTACTCCATAGAGCAGGATAGAAAAAATATAGCATCTGACAAGTTTGATTTTCAGTCTTAGGCTTATGTCGTGACTGCAGAAGACCTTTTTCATTTTGAAGAATGCTGTTCGAGCTTTTTCTGTTCTTGTCTTTACTTCAACAGTCATGTCCCAGCTTTCATGTAAATTGGAACTGAGATGTGTGTTCTTTTCAACTTTTTCTAGTGGTAGGCCTTCTGAATTTATTGGTGATAAATTAACGTGTTGTTTGCTGACGAACATGATCTTGGTTTTTGTTAATCTTCAATCCATATTTTTCAGATATTTCTGTGACTCTATTGATGAGGAGCTGAAGGTCTTCATGCTTACTGGGAAGAAGAACTGTATCGTCAGCATATCTTAAGTTGTTGATCCAAACACCGTTTACTTTGATGCCAGCATCGATGTTCTCCAGTGCCTCGTTGAAGATTGACTCAGAGTAGATATTGAACAACAGTGGAGACAGAACACATCCCTGTCTGACCCCCCTTCTTATTTCTGCATCAGCTGAGTATTTTTTGCCTAGTGTCACATTTGCTACCTGATGCCAATACAGATTCTTTATTCTTTGAATGTCTTTGTCATCTAGTCCCCCTTGTTTCAGGATTTCTAATAGTTTGCTGTGTCTTATTTTATCAAAAGCTTTTTTGAAATCAATGAAGCACATGTAAACACTGTGATTGACATCTCTACAACGCTGTACAAGAACCTGAATGCTGAACAGCGCATCTGGTGTACCAAGATTGTTTCTCAAACCAAATTGTGTGCTACCTAGACGCTCTTCAATTTTGTTGTATATTCTTGTGTGAATTATTCTCAGGAATATTTTCAGGGCATGACTCATTAAGCTTATTGTTCTGTATTCGGTACACTTCTTTGCATTTATTTTTGGGGGGATTGTCACAAAGGTTGATTTTAGCCAATCATTTGGTATCTTTCCTGTTTCATATATCTGATTGAAGAGCTGCAGTAAAAAATTCTTCCCATTGTCTTCCAGCAATTTTAAAATTTCTACTGGGATATCATCAGGTCCTGTGGCTTTTCTTGTTTTTGCTATTTTTATTGCATGTTCAACCTCTTCCATAGTGATATTTGGTCCAGTTGTTATACTTCCCATATCTATATCATCCCTAGTGTCCTCAAAAAGTTCTTCAATATATTCCTTCCATCTTTTTAGTTTTTCATCCTCATCCAAGATAATTTCCCCCGCTTTGTCAACTAAGTTGTTGGTTTTCTTTTTGTAGAGGCCTGCTGCTTCTTTCACTTTTTTGTGTAAATTGAAATTATAATGTATATCTAGATATAACATCCTTTTAATCAGTTTATATTTTACTTATATATTAATAAAAGTTACATCAACTTACTATTTTAACATTTCATATATCATAAAATATACTATATTACTTGAATCTCTTATCGTTCTTGTTATAAGGCCCCTTTATGGTCAAAATTCTCTTTTCTTTTAGCCATATTCAAACAAATGTTTATTCATGTAATAGTCCATCTGGTAGGGCGAGTCAAATCTCTTGTGTCTGTCTTGGTCTTCTTCTTTTACCAAGTAATTTTCCAAGTTGATGTAATGCACTTACCCAGCTGTTCCTGTATTTTTACAAATGTTGTTGTGAATACAAAAGATGAAGTAAGTAAGATACTTTCTGTTTCCCAAATTTGGTGGTACTCCTGATAATTACATTTTTCTTGTTGTATCAGAACATTGTAGATTTTTTCCAGTTTGTGTCAAATTATAATTCTTTTCCTTTGTTTTTTCATCAGTTTGATCATACTCTTCTAATTTGTAGTCTGCTGTCCAGTTTATTTGTTCCTTTGTTGTTATTTCCTGGGTGTTTTTGAATTGTAGATTTAGATTGGAAATATGCTTATTTAAATCATCAAAGTTGTTTCGAATTTCCTCGTGGTTTAAGTCTATTGTCATTTGTATTTGTTCTAACATTCCACATATTTCCTCCTGGAAAGTATTTATCTTGCCTTGAAGTATTGCTTCTGGAGGCCCTTGATTTTCCAGGCTAAGTCCTTCAGGAGAAAATATTGAATATGGCTTCCTGTCATTTTTTGATACGTATGTGATATCTATGTTGTCTCCCCCCTTCAAATAATTTTTCATCAATG